TACCTTTTCCCATGTCAGCCTCAGGTGAGCCTCCAATCTTTTAGGAGGCCGAAATGAAATGACAGCCGCCGATGAGATTTATCAACGGCGGCTGTCGTCAGGCCCACCCCCCCCCGTTATTTAGGAGTATCCAAGTACTAGGCTATTTTCCCGTATTCCCAACAGCGGCAAGGGKACTGGTAGTTCTGAAAAAAAAAAAAAAAAAAAAAAAAARAAGAAGAAGAAGAAGAAGAAGAAGAAGAAGAAGAAGAAGAAGAAGAGTAAACCCTGGGACCAACCTGGGACTGGGCCCAACTTGGACTGGGCCTATCTGCAATGTGAAATCCTTTCAACAAGAAGAAGAAGAAGGTAAAAACAATCATGTGCCTAATTAACCTTCCAGAAAAAAAAAAAAAAAAAAAAAAAAAAAAAAAAAAAAAAAACAAAAAACAAAAAACTTCCAGCCTTTCCAGGTGGAGAAATTCACAAGAGGAAAAACAGCCCTCGTGTACTAAGCCCTCTAATATCCTTTATTTCAGGCCTTTGCGTAAACCACCACCACTACCTTTTCCACTTGAAAAACAAAGTCGCGGCTCGTTAAAAGGCCACATTTTTCGGGGGGTTGGGTGCCAGAACGAGCAGGCCCACGTCCTGTTTGTTTTTGGCGCGCAGGGGGAATTTAGACTCGGCATCAATAGTTGGGCGGGCGGAGTACTGGTGGTTGTTAATCTGGACCGCGAGTTCGCCCGAAGAAGAGTGCTACTCTTAATACTAGTTTATGGGGACAATCTTTTCTATTCGGTCATGATTGTCCCCAAGGTACCGAAATACAGGAGAATAACCTAATTGATTTGGTCATTTTGCAGATTTTTTTTTTTTTCTTTGACGCGAAATCCGTTTTGTAGTATGGGTTGGCCCTTTTGGTTTCGGCGGGAAGCCATTTTCCACCGAGGGTAGGGTACCGTCTTCCCCCGAATACAACGCACCCTCATTTCGACTGTATCGGGGCGGAAACATACCTTGCATACGTTCATTTTCAGGGTAAAAAAAAAAAAATAAAAAAAAAATAAAAAAAAATCAAACATGCGGCTTGTATACAGCCACAACTTGTGGGAGGGAAGTACCGGGGCGGCGGTGATTCGCTGGATATTCATCCGGGCAAAACGGGCCTCACATGCGATCCGTGCTGCCTTCAGGCTGCAGTGGATGGATATATCCCGCGAAACTCAGTCCGTACTTCCCGAGAGTTGCGGCTGCTGTACTGCATGATGCACCGGGATTCTGCAGAAAAAGCGGGCAAGCGTACTGGTCTTTTAAACCACCAGTTCCTTTCCCATTTATTGGCCGGGCCAGAGCCTATGGAAGATTCTCGCGGTTTAATCAGGGGTACTATGATCAGTTGCTTAACTTTTGCTTGTTTATTGTGGCGACATTACGATCATTCGGAAAGAAATAGGACTCTGGATCCAGTTGCCGGCACAGTGACTATGGTCTTCTCATGAACATGATGCAGTGTGCCACTCTCATCTTGCCTGCATCTGACCGGAAAGATAGCGTGTATGCAGCCGTGATTGGGGTGCGTTGTGTTTGGGGCAAGAGGGTAGCCTAGGCTAGGTATTGGCCCCAGTATCTCCACGTTTTTTTTTTTTTTTTTTTTTTTTTTTGAAATAACTCCGCGGGTGACCGCTGCACAGTTTCGAATTCGCAGGAATAACAGTCCACTCCAAGCTTGGGCGAAGACAAGTTCGAAACTGCAACGAAAAATGCGTTCGACGGCCTACCGGAAACGCAGAGCGGCCCAACGAGATACAGGGAGTGAATCTTCTCTAGAACATGGAAAGATACAGCGCCATGATTTTTGTCTTTTGTGCAACGGGGATGCGGGGGCCCAACGAGATACACGGGCTGACAACAACCTATGGGGCCTCGTGGCGGTGCATCTTTCCATGTTCTAGCGGAAGATTCACTCTCGTTTTTTTTTTTTTTTGTCAAGCACTGTCGCGTGGCTGGCCACTGCCGCTAAGCCTCGGCCACATCCAAGGTTAAAAAAAGGGAAAAAAAAAAAATAGAAAGAGAGAGCATCCCGTCGCGTGGCTGGGCCACGGCCGCGATGCCTCGGCCACGGCCGAGATTTAAAAAAAATAATAATAATAATGCAATTTCGAACTTGTCTTCGCCCAAGCTTGGAGTTTCGAACTTGTCTTCGCCCAAGCTTGGAGTGGACTGTCATTCCTGCGAATTCGAAACTGTGCAGCGGTCACCCGCGGAGTTTTCTCTTTTTTTTTTCTTTTTTTTTTTCCCTCGCATTGTTTATGAGGATTCCTGGGGATAATTGGTGGAAGCCCCCACTCGGAAACCTGTGTTTTGGTCACGGTTTCGCGCACCCAAACTTTTCCCATTTGGCAAGAATGGTCTACCAGAAAATGAATCTGGTGCAGATAGAGCACCAGGTTCATGATCCGGTAGGAAGGGGCCAAATGGTCCTGACCCAATCTCTGCCTTCAGATTTTAAACCACCAGTACTTGACCCATACACCGGCCACGGAGCGTTGTCGTTAACGCCCCGCAACTTTCATGGCCTCTGGCCCGATGATAAATCGCATCAACGGCCCAGAGTGCGCCGCTGGCCTCCGAGAGTCGCAGGGAGGGCCCCGCGGCCAATGTATGGGCCAAGTACTGGTGGCTTAACATCCGACGGCCTGTGTACCCCGTGGGCCCTTCTTGCCAAATGGTAAAAATTTCGGCATGTGAAACCAGAAAAAAAAAAAAAAAAAAAAGGTTTCGGCGTGGGCGATTTCCATCAATTATCCTGGAGTCCTGTCCTCTGTTCTTTCCATTTTAATTCATCTTTACAAAAAAAAAAAAAAAAAAAAAAAAAAAAAAAAAAAAAAAAAAAAAAAGAAAAAWATCYAAAGGGCCTTGTTCCCCCCCCCCCCCCCCTACCCCCCCTTTTATAAAGCCCAGGGGCCAAGTCCCTCTAGCATGGGCTTGGCTTTGATTCCTAGACGAGTGTGCCAGGGTGCGGGGGTGCGTGACAGTCTTGCGAAGTTTTTTTCACCGAAATTTGTGGCGCGCATTAGGACGAGTCCAACATCTTTAATGTATTAGGTCCAGAATGAGTCCAGATGCATGTATACTAGTGTTGGTAATGTGTGTGCCAAACTCTTGCTTGTCACCGTAGCACCACACTCTGTCCGCTACACAGTCGGAGTACGGCCTTAGACTGGCACAACTGCCTCGCACTGACATAACTGGACGCCATTTTTAATTTGTTTTTTTTTTCAGGCCCTTAAACCCCTTACCTATTTCCGAACCGATTTCCATACCTGACCCATCGACAGACCCGTCAGGAATGAAAACCCCTCCATTCATAAAAACACTACCCCACTAGCATCGACAGCCAATGACAGTCCGAGAAATATTAATCACGGAACTCTCTCCGTCGCCGTAACGATAAAAGAATGATGGTCGGATCCGTCACTATCTACAGCTCGCAGGCGTTTCACACAGAAGAAAGGTCCTCACGTTTGTTCCATTCCTACCGGCAGCGGGACCTGGGCCCAGGTTGTTGTAGAGGCTACATTCCGGTCGTTATCCGAGGCAACCACTCGCCCACACACCACATAGAAACCCACACACTCACACTCACACTCACACTCCGGTTGTTATCCTGTTTTTAGGATTGCGTCTTGGTTGCACTCGTCCAAATTATACCCTTTTAAATAAGACCAGAGCGAGCGCTATTTCAATCGGATCAGCCAGCACACAGACCACTCCGCTCACTAACTCGAACACACTGAAACTACGACGCAAGAAGAGTTGGCGATATCTTCCGCCCAGTGGCAGCACTGTCTTTGGAAAGGACAAGCCTCAGATGCTAGGCTGCCAGACTGTCACTGGACAACTTGCCTGGGTGGGCCCAAAAAACAAAACCAAAAATAGTTTAATGAGGGGAAACTGTGGGTGTGACATACTTTTTTAGTTTGAATTTTTTGAAATATAAGGCAAGAAAAGACAAAAAGTGGCGCCGGTGTCATGGTGTGAGTTCCGAAATGTGCAAAAAGTTTAGCGGGGGGGGTCTAAAACTGCGTCGGCAGTCAAGTCACTGTGGCGCTTGGCAGAGAATTTACGGGCCTGGGGTTCGCCTTTTTTGCTCCATAATTTCGGGAACTGCTAACGTTGCCTAGTCTTCTGAACGTTGGGTGCGACTCCAACGTACT